TTTGACACCCCTGCCCTAGTATCCTCACTTCTGTCAAACTCTCGACTGCTCATAAGTTTATAATGTGCTGTTTGCCTCACCTGTACATTGCTTTGGACAAAAGCGTCCGCTAAATGAAAGTAAATGTAGTTAATGATGCTTAACATTTTATGTATAAGAACACATAGCATTAATGTCCTTTATGTGTGCTTGTCCATTTATTCATTATTTATTGTTATGTGTGAATGGTTGCTGTGCTACTCCACATGCCTTTTTAATTACCCCTTAGGGATCAATAAAGTGAATTGAATTGAATTGAACTGAACTGCATACACGGACTATGCTGCCACCCTGTGGTAAGTTAGAGGAACGTCACAGCTAAGCATTGTACCGCCGTGTAGCTGAAGTAATCATGTACCTCACTGTTTTCAGACACCGTTTTCTGTGAAAATTAGTCCAGTCTAATACAATTCTCCTTTCCATTACTCTATGCGTTTAGGTAAAACGACTATGGACAGGGATTGCATTCTCTTTATTCTCTGAATTAAGAAAGATAAATGCACAAGACAAGAAGTTTTCGCGCTCCTACGAGAGAAAAACCAGTACCGATTCAACGAATCTGCTCAAATTCGCTTTAAAATACAGTTTTACACACAAAATGCAAGTCTTACATCTAATGCAAAGAGCACAACAAAATCCAATCCTCAGTGTACTTCCGCAAACTGAAGATAGGGGGCGGTGTAACACCGATGACATAATCAAATGAGCCCGAATATTTTACTTTCGTTAGGGGTCCTATTGTTTTTCCATTTATATGGTACATAAAGAGTCTCCAACTCCAGTCCTGGAGAGCCTCAGCCTTGCGCATTTTGGGTGGCCCCGCATTTAACACACCCGATTCTACTTCCCTGCTAATTACCACACATTTCTTAAGCTGAATTAGGTGTGGCGGAACAGGGAATGACTCTCCTGGACTGTTGTACATTTTCTTTTTTAGACGCCTTTTCCCGTAGCGACGTAACCGAGCGGGGTTGTTCCGCAATGCAGGTACTGGCCCCAGTATTCGGAAGTCAGTTTATGAAACTGTATTGGAGAATACAGAAACGTGTAAACTGAATACTTTGAAGCTGCATTTCCTATGCATATGCATATGTTTTTTTCAAACGTTAAGTGTTTTTTTATTTGTGTCTGACCAAACACGTTCCCTCCTGCACACGTCCGTGAACAGACGGAACAGTATAACCACTTGGAATTAAACAGCGTCAGATGCAAAACCAGTTGACCAGTTGCAGAAGACCGGTCTGAATCAGATAACTCACCTAGCCATTACTCCCCAGCGCGACCGCCGGAGTGACGGACGCTTTGAGCGGATGCTGCAACGGTAATACAACATGTTCGCGAACGGTGAACAGTAGTAATTACATTTGAAGAACATATTTTAATGAGTTGTTTAGTTGGCATGCAGGTTATTTACCGCTAAGTATGGCATGTGAAAAATGCATAAACTGACTTTATTTTTGTTAGACCTAAGCTGGCTACTTAAAGGAAGGACAACGCAAGAATGTGAAATGGCTGGTTATAAAATAAAATAGCATGCAGACATGTAGGCCTATTTATATTATACTGGGGTTTTGTATCGGCTCAGGATTTATGTAAAGGAACATACTGTCATTTTTTTTTCAAATATTCAACGTTATTGTTTTGTATTTATATTACTGTATTATTATTAATAATAATAATAATAATAAATCCCTGAAAAAATTGATTACTCTGGTTTTTGATGAACCGTTAATCAGAGCTTGTGCTTTGTGACAATTAAAGTGCATTTTCAGTTCACAGTTTCATTTATATATGTTTGAAGTGTATTACTATTATTAACTAGGTTATAGGTATAGATATCAGTTTCTGAAAGTATTCAAAAAGTATTCAGAATAAGTTACACATTTTGAGTATTCAATCAGAAAACAAATATGAATACATTAGACTATGGGCCTATATTCAATATGCAGTAACTAAATTCTTTTAGAATATTCTGCCCAATGCTGCAACTGAGAGTGCATTGCAAGTATTTCTAATGGATCTAAAACAAAAAATGAAAGATTCTTTATTTGACTTTTGTTTATAGGAAATCTTACTAAAACTGTCCAGTCAGTAAGGGCATATGTTTGGTTATGTTTGGTTTCAACTGTAGTAGCCCCCTAAACTTACATGGTACTCCCACAGAATTGTTAAGGACATTCCAAAGCCAGATTTATGCATTTGGCAGTCAGTAACGTGTAACAGAAATGGACCGTACAAAGGCACTCACAAAACGTCAATACAGGAATATGACTAGAAACTGCAGAGGTATGTAGGCCTGTTTATGAAATAAATATGAAATAAAGAAATGGCTGAAACAGAAAACATGACTGAAAGACCTATATATGTTGAAAATAGATAATAGAAATTACTAAAATAGGCATTAATGTAGCTCAGTGTCAGCGCCAGAACAAAACTGATGATTTTATGGCAGGGGGAATCCGATCTCGTGTGGCACGATGCTGTATTATACGGGACGGGTGGCTTCTCTTTCCCGTAGCAACGTAACCGAGCGGGGTTGCCGTTAAAAGGGTAACAGTGGCTGGCGGGTGGAGGGCATGGCCCTGGAATGCCGCCCCATGACGCCGACCCTGATGTGACTGAGTGAAGTATAACGTGCCGTATCACCTTGTCCAGCATAGTGCACTATGTGTTTATGAAATTGAAATATTGTAATTTTTATTGAGTTTTCAAACTGCAGAGGACTAGTAGCAGTCCAAATGTTATACCTGGCAGTCTGGTTGAGTCGAGTCGGGCAGGATTGGGCGACGTCGGGAGGTATGAGTGACTTTGCTCTGTTATGCCAGTGGACTAAGGGGCATTTTGGGTATGACGGTGTTCTATTATAAAAAAAAATAAAAGATACATATGTAAGTGGAGTGTAGTTCGATTGTTATTAACATTTGAGGAATCTGTTGTTTAACTGTTAAATCGACTAATAAAACTATCACTTCTCCGACAAACGCCGGCTGAGTTCTTCGTTGCAGGATGTAATTGAGGGTATTTCCACAGAGTGAAACTAAACTCGCTTTGGCCCTGGAGCTGCACTGATAAGTAAGGAGAGCTTCCTGTACTGCGCTGCCCTGCTAGGCAGATGAAGCAGGAAAGATAACAGACTCCTATTTCTGCGGCGGTCGAAGGACAAAGACAGTGATGCATCGTGCGTGTCTCGCCACTCTGTAGTGATCTTGTGATCTTATCTCTCGTACTGTGCTGTTACCGTAGGATGACCTACCTATAGGCCCACTTAAAATTAAAAGAATGAAGTGCAAATTCAATTCAATTTATTTTTAAATAGCGCCTTTCTCAACGGAGTCGTCCCAAAGTGCTTTGCATGGATGTATTGTGATACATAAAACATCATAAGAGAGAAATACAGAAAATTAATTGTTGCAGAAGTCCTGTGCTCCATGAATCTATTCAGAAAGAGTAAAGAATGTTGCACAAAATGATACCTGAGATCACAGAAAAGGATTTAATATGAAATGCATCCTCTTTCACTCCATTACACCCGCATGCATGCAACAGCAGCACAGCTGCTGAGCCAATATTTAATTATAAATACATATATATATATTATTAATAAAGAAGTCTGATGTGACTGGTTTAGAGGTAATGGTTGCCTAATGGTTAGGGAAGTACCCTTGAGGTACCCTGAGTAAAGTACTGTAGGGACTAAATCAGCCCCAACCCCCCCCCGAGACCCACATGGTACTCCCACAATACTGGTAGGAATGTCTGCCTGGCAGAGGTGGAAAGTTAGGATCCAGAAAGTACAAATCCGGACCGAGATTTTGTTTCTACCAACCAGCTGAGCCTAAAAAGTTATGGTCACAGAGTACAAAATTGGTTGATTGAAACAAAATCTTGGTCCGGATTTGTACTTTCTGGATCCAAACTTTTCACCTCTGCTGCCTAGTAATGCACTCCACGCCATTTGAGAATCACAGCTATGATATATTGGAGTACAACTGCAAAATAAAGAAAATTAATAGATGAATGCCAATGGCACATCTTTCATGCAATATCTGTTTGTTGATCTCTTTTGTTGCAAATGTTTTGCTAAGTTTTCATAGAAATATTGAGTCTGCTGGTTATTATATTCTTAACAGGATGTCCTGTATATATAAAAAAATATGTAAAAACAGTTAAGGCCTTTCGCTTAGCAGAGCTGTGAAATAAGTTTCATATCTGTTTTTTGTTCTTGTCTGAGCCACATAGGACTTCCTATATATATTTCTCACAGTTTTCATCTCTATTGACATCTATAATCTCTGTTATTGATGTGATCTATAAATTCCATGTCCTCATTTGTTTTCACAAATGTATGGAAGAACCTGAATTTGTACACTTGGTCTGTCAGTGGTCATAATAACATAATTAGCTTAAGCCAAATGAATAAAACCTCAACGCATTTAACCATTTCATTTAATTTCTAACATTCCGGCCACTGTAGATCTTAATAATAGTTTCGTTTCATCAAGAAAATCTGCGCAATAATTTTACCATTTCCAAACATGGTAGGTCGAACTAAATGGTTATGTGCTGACCTCTCTCAAAGATACACAAAATCCCTCACACGTTTAGGTTAAATTGTATTTTAATCAACCTCCTTATCATGCTAACGTGCATGACAATGATATAAATGAACAGCACAAACGCTACCATGATTTGCTGCTCATTGAGCACAGCGCCACACATCTAAAAAGGATGCTGTTCTGATGTCGTTAAAGCTGCCTGAAATATAACGAATATAATGCGAGAAAATGTTACGGTCAATGTTGAGGAGGGACTGAACTAAAGCTTGCAGCTTGGGACTTTTAATCTTTATCAAAAATGTTTATTTGTCTGGTATTTTGCTTTCCACTGCAGCTATCTTCTGTCACCTCCCACAGCTGTGTGGAATATATTTTCATAGCGGTTTCAGGTGAAACTCACTTGTCAGTTTAGCGACGAGTTTAGTTGTGTCCTTCAGTGCAGCGGAATTATAAAAAAAAACGTTTTGTGCTATGAATGCATTGTAACAGAGTGTTGGAAGTTACTGTAATATATGGGCTGTCTAGGATGCTCTCGTTGATATTTAAACAGATTTTCATCTTAATTAGTCCACTTATCATTAAAACAAAATTCAGTATGACTAATTCATTCTTTCAACTTCTTCACAACAGTAAAAAAAAAATAATAACGGATGAGGAAACGCCAGTGAGATATTTGTCAGCCCTCTTCGATCAGAGACTCATTTGGGCAGCGTGGAGGAGTACTTTCGGGCTTCGAATTATTTCCAGGCTGAATGAGTACAGACTCGGTTCCATTACTTTTTCTTTTGGTTTTTCAGTTTCATTTAAGATGTCGGCTCTCCATCGACCCGTCTTGAACTTTTCGGGGAAGCTCCGCAGGCGGCGCCTTCTTGCAGATGCGGGCGTCGATCTGTATCCAGGTCGTCGTGTAGTGCGAAAGCAGCACGGAGCTGAAGATGCCCCACGGAGCCGAAGGGCTTCCTTTTCCGCTGGGGGCGGTTTGCGTTTCTCGGTGGCTGCCGAGAGCGGCGGCTAGTGTCTGCAGAGCTCGGCGGAGGAGTTGTAGATAGAGTTGACACGTTGCACGTAACTTGCATACGGTTCCAATTCCTCCACTTCCTGCACACTCTTCAGAGACATCACAGTCATTATCACATAGCTATAATTTCATCCTTCGTGGTTTTTTTTTTTTTTTGCTTTCTTAATAACTGAGCCTAATTTAAAAAAAGTAATAAATTCATATAATTGCTAGTGTTTCCAAAGCTTTTAATCCCTTACCGTTAATAGTAAATCAATAGAAATCAATGAACATTTAAATCCACCATTTGAAAAACAAACATTATTTAAAGCATTTAAATTCTGTAAAATCAAAGAAACAGCCCAATCTCCTATACATAATGACACAGTTCTCTCATTTGCTGTGATTAATCAGTGGAAATGACCCCACCTGCACAGGAATGGGGACACAACCGTTTTAGACAGCACTGTGGATGCTTACGGCCCCCGCTTACCTGCACAACTTTAGGGGGTGTCGGGGATGGACTGCTTGTCTCACAGCAGTTCCTGAGGAACACAGTGGATTAGTTCAAAGGTATATCATAAAAATCAAAGGAGCACATCAATTTCCCAATAAGAACAATGACATTTTAAACCCATGTGATGTTGTACAGCTCTAGCATCCTAACCCAGCAGATGAAAGGAACTCTTACCTGATTTTGCTTTGAAATTTCCATGTCAAATAAAAGCCAGCAAGGATAACGATGCACACTGAGACCAGAGAAAGTCCAATCCATTGAGCTACATGCCCTAGAAGAACAAGATTGTGTTTTAAAGAATGGTATATTCCTTTATCAGACCTTTGTTACACGTCACTGTTTTTTATTTCAGAGGCTCAACCATTCAGATCTCTGGCTGCTAGCTGCTGCTCAGTTCCCATAACCTGAGTCACTTTCTGGCTTCTGTGAGTCGTCATTTGGCCAAAATGATCTTCTCCTGCTGATTCAGTTTTCTGTCGCCCACTCACCTGCTTTGGGGTCTGAAAATCGCATCTCCTTGTTCTCCCCCGGCCAGCTGGGGTGTGTGATGATGCAGCTCAGGTTCTCTCTGGAGACACGGTCAGGCAGGACCAAGCGGCTCTCCACAGTGTAGGTGCCGTTTGGGTTGCTGGTGGAGATCTGGTTCACTGTGGAATTCCACGAGGTTCTCCAGGAGATGAAGGCCGCTGGGTTTCCCCCCACAGCTGAGCACACAGCCACTGTCCCGTTGCGGAGCTTATCCAGCCTGCTGAAGATCTGCGGAGGCACTGAGGCAAAACCGAGTACAAGGTTCAAGAACCAAGATGGTTCTTCTGTGTTAAAGTATCCATAGAAGGTACCTTCAGCACCCGCATCCCCTTCTAAGCCATTTCTGTCTCACCTCTTGCAGATACCGTAATCTCTGCATTATAGGTTCCTCCCCAGTAAGCCGTCTCACAGAGATAAACTCCCTGGTTTCCTAGAGTGATTTGAGGAATGTGCAGGTAGGATTCTCCACTGGTTCTGTTCCTCAGCTCCATCCCATTCTCACATGTGTCATAGTGACTCCCGTTAATGTGAAAAGCCACGCAGCAGTGCTTCCCCTTCACTTTGACTTTCCAGATGTTGTAGATCATCTCTCGCCATGTTTTATTGCTGCATGTTATATTAGCACCTTTGTTCAGGTCGAAAACATTGTACCTCTTTTCTGAAAATCAGTGGAAACATATGTGTGATACTGTAACCGCATACATTGGTTTTCCATAATAAATGTGAAAATTATGTCAATGTCAATGTAAGCCTTAGAAAGTATAGAGTTGCTTATCTAATACTGGATGCTGATCACATTTAGGTCACATTTCACTTTTCTTTGCACACCATTCTGTTACCACGGCTGAAGAAGCCTGAATTCATTAATGTTGTAGGTCAGTGTCTCCCAATCCGGTCTTCAGGGATCCACAATCGGTCCATGTTTTTCTTTCCTCCATGCTCTCCGCCAGACAGCCCACATTTTTGCTCCCTCCCAGCTCCCTACCAAGAGGGAGCAAAAACGTGGGCTGTCTGTGGGTCCCTGAGGACCAGACTGGGAAACACTGCTGTAGGTCATGCTGCCTGTTGCCATGCATTAGCTAATTGTAGATATTTAAGTAAGTGGCAATGAGGTCAAACCTTGCATTGTAGTGATGGTACTGTTATTGACTGTCTGGCACGTTTCCACGGAGTTTCCTGGTGGGGAAAATAGAGACTCTGTAATGGGGACATCAACCGCAGTACAAGCAATGCCGTTTGTGTCAGTGTGAGTGAGTCATAGTATGAGCCATATCTGATTCTGGCACCTGCATCTATCAGTACCCACCAGCACCCAGTATAAGATCACTGGTTACCTGGAATTATATGGCATGAGGCAGGGGTTCACCCTGGACAAAATGCCAGTGTATAGCAAGGCCATAACTTATAGGCAAATCGATAAATGTGTACTACTTCCATTTAAAGCTCATCTCATGCTGTTATGAGCAGACAGCTCGCTGTGGGAGCTCCTCAGAATGCTTTAAAAATCCACTGTACACCGCTGCTGTTGCCTCAGTCTTGACACTCAAAGTGTACATTTTAGGTCCATGTTTTAAGAGGATAGCTCACGCCGGGCACCTTGATCTAAGGCAGTCAACCAATTTCATCTTTTTCTTTCACCGGGAGCGCAATCCTTTCGTACTAGATTGCACTACGCCTATTAATTGCCCGTAATACTGGCTTTCTCAATATACAGATATGATACCAAGCATTAATTCAAATACAATCTATCAAATGACTTAAAGGATGACAAGGAGAATGACAATATCAATGCACAACCGAAATGATGGCGTTTTTAAAGAAGAGAACTGTACACACCGTTGACCGTCTTCCAGACGACGGCAAAGACGATCAGGTAGAACGTGCTAAAAAACCTGAGAGCAGCCATCCTTGCGGACCCGTCGGGAGGGATCACTCGCGGACAGATTTTTTCAGCCTCTGTGCTTCTCGTTCCTCACCGATCTAGACAAAAAGGCTTTGCCTTGGAGCGAAAGAGTTGTGGTAGACTTACCAGAATCTGTGCCGCCCCTTCGCTGTCAATCACATGACACCCACACAACTGAATCTGAGATCTGAAAACCCTGAAGGAGGAGATGTCTTGTCATTTGAAGTCTTTTATGTGTGAAAAGCAGTATTTTTAACAGCACAAGCATTTGAAGTATTGAAGTTTTTATATTGTTCACTCTGAGTGATGATGTATCACAACACACCCATGTAAAGCGCCTTGGGGCGACTGTTATGAAAGGCGCTATATAAAAGTAAATTGAATTGAAAGGAAAATGGTGCTTTATCACATATATAATATAATTGAAAATATATTTATAGTGTCACAGATCAAATCTATAATTTGCTGTACAGACGCTCCCTGGGTTACAATGGTCCATGTTACAATACTTTGACTTGACGGTGGGTAAATGTTTTTCACTTTCAGTACATTATTCAATAAATTACATGAGATATTCAACCATTTTTTATAAAGCAGGCTTTGTGTTAATGATTTTGCCCAAGTGTAGGCTAGTGTTCTAAGCATGTTTAAGGTAGGCTATATGCTAGGCTATGATGTTTGTTAGGTTAGGGGTACTGTATTAAAATGCATTTTCTTTTTACGATATTTACGACTTTAAATTTTATTGGGACGTGACCCCATCGTAACCTGGGGAGAGGCTGTACTTCTGAGTAATACTTCTGAGAGTGTTTAAAAGCATTGAATTAAAAGACTCCCTTCAATCTTCGTGATGTCAGTCAGCGAATGCCAGGGGTATTTCTGCGGCATGTTAAGTTTTCAGAATGGTAAAAACTGCTGACGGAAGAGCTGAAGGAATATTTTGATACCTAAAATCATTTAAAATGAGAAAATCTTACTGGAGTACACACATCTTAGTCACTTCCTGAGAAAGATATGATCTCAAAGAAAGGTATACAATAACAGAAAGCGTTTCTTGAAAGCCATGCTATGTGAACTTTGAACGTAGATTTCAATAAAATTCATTTTAATACAATGAAATGCAATCATGTTACATTTAGCTAGCAGATACTTTTGGCCAAAGCAACAATTAAGTTAGACAAGATGCTCAGGGCCTAAAAAAACAAATCTAGACAGACATGGATATCTCTAGTTGATTGTATATTTTCTTAATGTTTTTTTTTCCATAGGTTAAAAATGTTATTTTCCGCTTGTACTACCAGCACAAAAAAACAGAAAAAGATGTAGAAAACACCAGAATGCTGCAGAATCCCTCAATGCTTTATTTCGAGACCCAGACATTCAGTAAAGACCAGTGGTGTAGTCTACATTTTTGTAGTGGGTATACTGTGCTTAGAAAAAAAAAGTACACTGGTTCATGCAATGCAGTCAAGAATTTTATTTTATTTTTTGCATATTAAACCATTTTACACCATTACAAACAAGAGATGAAAATGAAGTGATCAAACTTTATTTTTTCTATTATTTTAATGACTCCTATGAGCTACAAAAATTATACTGTCAAATGTCTGCCAAGCATAACTTACTTTTCTCAACTTTTATACTCTCTAACTTCAAAATACTATGTACAAATAATCAAATTTAGTTTTATATAAATTATATCATTCATTAAATATACACAAAACATCACAGATTTTCTTCATAAACTAAATTTCATATGCACATTTTTTTTTCTTCTAACATCTGCTTTACCTAGCTTTCTTTCCCTCCATCCTAACCAAGGATGTCTGTTTTGGAACTC